ATATATATATATATATATATATATATATATATATATATATATATATATATAAGGAAACACAAGATAATGGATCCTACTTAATCCATAAATTAGATTAGTTGTCAAACTCGATAAAATGTAAGAAGAAATCTTGGACTACTCTAGCAACCAAGATAGCTTTTTGTATGATGAGTAATAGGAAAGAAAGAAGTGGAAGAGAAGGAAATGGAAAACAGAAAATGAGAATAAGAGGTAAAAGAGCCATCTTTATTTTTTCTTTTCCTTTATCAATGGCCAACTCCTTGCTGCTCAATATTAATGGATCCTTCTTCTCTTTCTTTTTCTCCTTTTCACTTCCTAAAAAAAGTTGAAATTGTGGTTTCGCTACCTTAAAGTGAGGAGTAAAATATATGATCTGCAAACATATATCGGGTCAGGTAATGAGTTGTTGTAGGACCTGCGCCATTGTGTAACTGAATATATAGATTAAGCAAGTTTGCCATTGGGTGATATCCAATACTGCCATATGCATTTTGTTTTTTTTGTGTCACAATCACTTAGTTAGATTCTGTTGATGTGTCATTAGGTGATCTTTAGTAATGCAAATTGGTCTTATTATAGTTGTAGGGTAGAGCAGAATTTTGCCTGATTTGCCTTAGTACCTTAATTATTTGTTTGTGACATTTTCAATTCATGTGATATTCACATCTATCCACCTTAAATTCAATCTGGACTGTCATTGTAGATCCAATTTGTATCTATATTAATTGGAAACAAGTATGTGACAGAATTTAGTGCCCTTCTAACACCTGTATCCAGATTTTAATATCTTGGTTAAATGTGTGTGGATGCTGGAGAAGTCCGTAATACTGTTTCCTTTTTTTCTTGGGTTCCAAGTTGAACAGGATATACAGTATCTATATGGACCTCAGAAAATGTTCTGTTTTCTACCTTATGTACAACCCAAATGAAAGGAATAAACATATTTTATGGGATAGACTATATTTTGTTTTAACTAAAAGCAGTGGAACCAATGTATGTCTGAACTGATTTAAAGGATTTGTGCCAAGAACAATGATTTGGGTCTCTATTTGGTATGAAAATATTTTGGTCCCAATTCATTTTCTTGTACCACTCATTTTATGTTGATGAACATGCAAAAATTTTCAAGCTTTGCCAAATATTTGTTGTGGGATAAGACCTCTTTCTTATTTGTGGCATATGTCTTGTGAATAAGTTCTTGTGATTGGTATTGGGTTGTTGGAGAGCATTTGGGCCTTAATTTTAGAAGATAAATTAATTTTAAGGAAGTTGTTTTTCTGGAATATCATCCTATTGAATGGAAAATGGACCTTAGGTGTCTCTCTTAGATCTTTGATCTATGGTCTTGTTTTTAGCTCATTTAAAAATATTTCTATGCATCTATATAAATTGAGTTCTTAGTTAAAGAATGTGGTAACAAGGAAGATCATTACATGAGAATTGGTTAAGAGACCCAAAGGAGCTCTCCCTTTGGTGTAGTCCTAACTTAATCTGGCATGCAAATCAAACTAGTTTTCACTTGGTCCATACAAGGATCTAAATAGAGTCCAAAGGTCAAACGCCAAGGTTTCCTTCTTTTTGTTTCTCTTCCTACATTGATCCTTAGATAAAGACATACTTGCTAGGTTATGGTCACTGGTCATTTAACATTGAAGATTGGCTTCAAAAAATAAGAAATGGCTCAAAGAAATAAGGACGAAGTTCAAAGTTGGTTAAGAGATTGCAAAGAAATTAGGCTCTTGTATATGATAACCTTTAACCCAGTCTAGAAGTCAAAATAAACATCAGTTTAAAATAGATGTCATTGTGAATGGCCCCCTTGTTAGGCTAGTAATCTATCACATCTCAGCCTCCTCTTCAATTTCGTAACCTGGTTGTGGTGTTATTTTTGCTTAGCTATTCCTTATCTTGAAAATGCTTGATTGTGCTTAAAAGGAGCTTGCTATTCTAGAATTTTTTGGTTTCATCCTTGGGCCTATTCATACAGTATTAATGCTAGTTTTATCTAAAAAAAATCTAATAATCTATGAAGTTCCAAATTCGTTTTTCTTGCTAGAATAGTGATAGTACCTTGTTATATCTAACAAGATATACTATATTCTGACTAATAGAATAATTCATTTCAGGAACTACAGCATTTATTGAGCAGTCTATTCCTTATCCACAAGATGGAAAACAGGTATTGATATCGAATACCATTTTTTTGTTCAAATTTAAATTATGTACTTGCATCTTTCTAGCTTGCATATGGATGTAGCTTGTCCTGAATTATTAATTGCTTTATCATGCGCAAAAGCATGGTGAGTCAAAGAACTAGCCTCTCTAATTGCAGACCCTCCACAGACCCCCACATTGGAAGGAGCCTCGTGTATTAGGCTTACCTTATTGAGATCTGAACCGAGTGTGACGGACTTATTATTGCTAAGGAGTATAGTGATATGCTTATTGTTTGTATACGTTGTCAAATGTACAGCTGTACAGCTCATTTTGGTTAACAACAGAACTCTCTTGCCATCAAAGAAAGAGGGAAATTTAACTATTTCACCCCCCCTTTCCATTATATTTACACCATTACATTTATGTTCCCAATTCTGTTACATCCCTATTATGATGGTTCTCTTTCTATTGCAATTCAGGGGTGGTGGAGTGGAGGATTTACATATGGATTGTGGATTGGGATTTTAGTGGCATCAGGATTTTCAGTTGTGCCAGTGGCATGTCGTGTTTGGAAGGACCATTTTAACCTCTATCGAAGCTCCTCAAACAAGGTTAGTCTGGCTCATTGTTTAATCAAAGGGATGCAAGAGTAAAAATTTCATGACATTTTCTCATGATTCATCATTGCCATTGATGGCGAGCATCTTTCTATTTATAGCTTCAAATATCCTAGTAAGTTATGATGCTTTTCGGAAGTAATGACTAAAGTTTAACTTTCACCACGAGATTGGTATCTTCTATCTGGTTCATAATCAGTGAATGATATTTGAAGAGCCTCCTATGACCCTTGTTAGACCGTAAAGTTGACCCTCCCCAACTCTTGCATTGGTGACTGGTGAGAGCCTGCCTCATGCATCAGTCTGCGCTTTCTAACCATCAATTTCCAGTTGTCCAATCCAGACTTGTAAATAAACGTAGGCACTATGTTTGGTTGATTTTGTTTGAGATTGCAGTTGTTCATTAACTTTAACTTGGTCATCGGTTCCTGCTCGGTTGATTTTACTCTACATTTCAATCACTAGAATATTATCTGTATTTTCTTCTATTACTCTCTAATTGCTTCCCTTTCAGAATATAGGAGAAAACCCTACATATTACAGTAATGCGAGTTTCTATGCAGGAAGATAGCAGGAGAACAGCTTCTGACTTGTTTCCCTCGTTGGATTCTTCCCTGAAAAGGAAAAAGGATCATGGTATGAACTCCTGGGAGCCTTCCTGTCATTAATAGTTTTCATTGTGATTTCATGTCATTGTTGTGGTGTTCGAGAAGAGGTATCTCACTCTGTTCCGCTGCTGCTGCAGGACGAGCTGAGGCTCTTCTGATTGCTGCCTATGGCAGGTCTCTCAAACTGCATTAGATATTGCTTGTGTTACGGGCAAAACTACGAACCTTATTGGAGGAACGAGGCCATCGTGTCTGATGCAGCTTGGTAAATTTTCAAACATGTTGTAATCATTGATGCTCTATTTAACGTTCAATTCTTTCGCAACTATTTTTACCCTGTTGGATGAGTAGTTTAACGACGAGTATTTTTTGCTTTGACGAAGACAAGCTTCTAAATTAATTTTTGCGGCATTGCAAAACCGGTCCAATCTTGTTGGATAGACCGGTTCTTTTATTTTTGATTCGTCCAAACCCGTATATTTGGACCGGGTTGGATTTATACACGATCAATTGCTGAACCGGATTCAGTAAGTATCGTTTTTTTATTTTCTTATTTTTCGGATCACTGCAGCTGTCAGGACAACATTTGATCGGAGGACTATATAAAAATGTAGCTCAAAACCAAAGTAGATAAAGTCGACTTCGCGTGGCAGTGCAACGAAGACTTGACCCGTTTGGATTTTGGAGTTAGTTTAGCAGGAGCCATTAAAATAAAACCTCACCTCTTATTTATCATCTATCTAGCCACGTTGATGTGACGCTTCGTAAACAAATTGTCGAACACCTGCCCAGCGAAAAGGACTGAAGCCCTCTAACGAGGATAAGCCCTAACTAAGAAGGATGTCCGACCTTCTCGATCCGACAGCGCCATGCCTGCCGATGCGCTCCTCCTGTCCTTGCTGCGGCAACTGATCGTCTGGTTGATCAAGGACGCGCATCGACAAGTCGCAGCTGCACCGGGCGTAGAACGGGAGCTTGAAAGGCTTGAGAGGACGGTGCCGGGGATTCAGGCCATGCTCGCCGATGCAGGGGAGAAGCAGTGGTTGGCGGCGCTGAAGGATGTCGCCTACGATGCGGAGGATGTTATCGATGAATGGAACACCGAAATCCTGTGGCGCAAAGCCAATTCTACCGGTGACATGATGGACAAGGTAACACGCTTCGTCTCTGCTCACAATCCACTTCGCTTTCGGCGCTACATTGGTCGTAAGCTAAAGCATGTGGTGAACAGAGTAGATAAGATTGCAGAAGAGGGTAATAAGTTTAAAGTTTACGAGTAATGCACGAACAAAGCATGAAGTAGCACAAGAAACTTACTCCTATGTTGCTGAGAAATCGGGTGTGATTGGTAGATCTACAGAAAAAGGAAGAATTCCTATGGTTGTGATTTAGTGGATTCATAATTATTCTGAAGAAAAGCTAGCCACAACTAGATATGATTCCTGCAAAGGGATTATGATCCACTTGACCTCTTATTCCACAAGCTAGGGATTTAAAAGAGTTTGCCAGTGCCACAAAATTGGATTCCTCATCCGACCTTATCTTTCACACCTCCCATAGAGGGAAAGAAAGAATTTATGTTGTGATGATGATGTGAGGTTATTGTGCTACTCGAATCTTACCGCATTATGTTACATGTAAAGAAAAATATAAATCTTGATGAAATGAGATAAAAATTTAGATTTGAATAGATTGGATAGATTTGGATACTAAAATAAATAAATAAATAAATACACCCACCTCTTCCCTCTAGACATTGCATGCATGATAAGTTTCTTTCATTCAATGTAGCTAAGATGTCTACCACCATTCGAAGGCATGTCACTTTGCATGCCCATAACGCCATCCTCTTCGACCACACACACCTCCGTGTGTCTTTTGGCTTTGGCTCATTGGAGGAATCTCACATCTGTGCTTTTCACTTCTTCCTATGGAGACAAAAGTTTGGGCCACCATTTGTGGTCAACATATGCTTGCATTGCATTGCATTGCATGTCTAAACTAACAATGAAGCGTGTGCATATATACCTACAAAATAATAGCTCCAAGAAAAGCCTACAATAAACGATAATGTTAATCCTCTTCTTATTCTACACAACACACACCCAAAGTCTTCCATAAACCCTATATTTATTAATAACATTATTAAAAATTTTAAATCGATAATGAATTTGAGTTAGATTAGTCAGTGTTTGTTTAAATGATTTTAATAAATAAAAAAATAAAAGTCCAACTAATATTAAGATTTCTAATTAATTCCGCTTATCTAGTAAATGTTAGCCATATATATATCATGATCATTACCTTCTTCAAATAATTCTTCCAATCCACAACTCAGGATTTGCATCACCAAGTGGGGCAGATACATTTGCATGCTTGGAAAGTCATAATCACATTGTGTTGTACACGAGAATGCCTCCGCTTTGGTTCATTGAACTTATTAGTGTATGCACAAAGTTCTTCATAGTGGTCAACACATGCATGTATCTCAAGTGGGACTTAAGGGAATATATATATATATATATATATATACACACACACACACACACAAAATAATCTAACATAGAAAAACAATAATAGATATCCCATCTGGATTTAATTCAAAGCTTTTATAAAAAATAATACATTATTTTTGGTGTAATCCTATAAAATAGTGTATCGAATATCAGGACCAAAACTTTATTGTCCACTAAAATATCAAAAAATATTATATGAATCTAACATATTTTGATGAAAATAAAAAAAAATCATAAATTATTAAATAAATAAAAAATAAAAAAAGATAGATAAGTATATGGATCTAATGCGGTATTTTAAATTTTTTTTTGAAGCATTTGGATCAATCATTGTATGCGATATATTATTTTTTGATATCAGAGCTTAAATTTTTGGGATCAAATTTTTATCATAGGTTGTCTATCCATTTTGAAGTTCAAATATTAAAAAATATTACATGAATCTATCATATTTTGGTGAAAAAAATAGAGAAAATAAGAAAACCATAAATTGTTCATATTATGAAATAATTAAAAAAAATCAAAAATTCTTTAAAATAGAAAAGAGTGTTTTTTTATTTATTATTATACTTTTCTATTTAATAATTTACTATATTTTATATTTATATATTATTTTTAATAATATAAATTGATATATATATATATATATATATCAGTAAATTATTTAATATAATTTATTGTGAACCGATTCGAGTTTTAAGTTGGTTGAACCGATTTAATTGTATGAGTTGAATTATTAAAAAGGTAAAAAAAAGAGAACTATTAGCTTTTAATAGGAGAGAGAGAAGATAACAGCTTTTAAGAGAAAAAGCCACAAAATTGTTATAAGGTTATTTTTATAATTTTAAAAAAGTTGAGACACTTTACAAAAAAAATTAAAACTATTTTTTTTCAAATATTTATCTATATATATTAAAAAATATCAACTAATGTAGTTAAGAAAGACTTTAACAGTTAATATTGTCTTTGGATCAAATCCCATCTTCACCATCTAAGCTTGTGCTATGTATATGCTCCAACTTATTTAACTAGTGACATCTCAATCATACATATGCATGTATATAAGCTACTAAAACAAATAGTCAAATGGTAATTACATTGCTTATTTTTGTTCAATGTATATTCTGAATTCCCTTATTTTCATGATTCCATTTTTGAGATTTTTTTTTTTTGCAACATCAGCCTTACCAAAATACATGGATAGGTAAATAAACAATTTAAAGGGACTTGGCAGTTGTAATCCAATAGCAGTTCATGCATGAGCTGGCCTCCTCTGTCATTGAGATGACCTTTCTCAAAGGAAGTGGGATTCACTTGTGATGTAGGACACTCTCTCACTCACATCACAAAAGTTTCCTTTATGCATATTCCTACTCACCACCACTCCATCCTTGTTTACTTTTTTGCTCTCCATGTAGAAAGAAAGCCTCACAAACACTGTTTCTTTCCCTTTTTCTGTTTTTGTTTGTTTGCATAATTTGATGAATCAAATTCCATTGGGCAAGTGGATTAATATAGTCTTTAGTCATGTAAAAGAAATATTTTTCTTAAGTGCATTCCCAATTATGGATGGATTTTACTGGCATTATTCTCATTTTGATTGCTCAAATGTCCCATCATGTCTTTCTTGTGATGCTACCTCCTATCCACACAAAAAAAAGTCAATGGTTTTGGATTGGGCTTTGGTCTCATTCCATCTCCATGTGAATACATCATGAGATTATATTTAATAATATCATAAACTTTGTTCTTTGTCTGGGAATATGATTATTTCTTTCATTAAAAAATAAAACAATTTTTGACTTGTTTTTTTAATCTGGCAAACTATTTTTCTAAGTTTCTTTTTTACCTTTTTTATTAAAAAAATAAAACAATTTGATATTTGACTCCCCCTCTTAACCATTTTTCAAAACTAAAATATTTCCTTCAAGAAATACAATATATATGCAAACTATTTAATGTGAATTTGGCCTCAAAACTTTCAGAAAACATTATTGTCAATTCGTTCATTACGTCCGACCCAAAGACTTGTCCGAAAGAATTCAGTCAAAACATATAAGAGGAACACTACTCGAGCTGAGCTGTGCACATTCGTCATCTGTTTTCGGAGGACATTTAGGCTTCATCAGAAAGGTCAAAATAGTGGAAGTCTTATGCATGCTGTCGGAAACGATGAAGAAGCGCACGCCAATCTCACCTTCGGTGCTCTGAACACCGACCCCAAAGTTACCAATAGATAGATACTATCCCTCCTTCTTCGCAGCAAAACCGCCGCCTCCGATCCCGTGGACGCGCCACCGCTTTGCTACCCGCCGAAGAAACAGCATCACCTGCCCCGACCCCTCTCCTCAATTAATCGCCGCCGCGTCTTCCGTCCTCCTTCCGCGGCCCTCTTTGAATTACCGATCATATCCCTCTGCGCATGGCTTCACTGACGATTGCCGCTCCTCCTTCGTCCTAACCGTCCGATGACGGGTGCAAGCCAATGCAACTGATGTCATTTTCGTAATTTCAACGAAGTGAAGGACCTCTAAGCAAACGAGACGATTCTCTCGCGCGCACGTGGGTTTCCCACTCCGTTTCCCCCCCCCCCCTAAATCCCATAACTAATTAACGACTTATTACACCGTCATTAAGGTTGAGAATATGTATTATTTATGATGGCATGTACACGATTCTTTCATGGCCTTCGCAGA